TTTTTATTCTTTTTTTTTACTCTCTGAAGTCGATGTGCTAGTTCATCAGTAGCAATTCTGAACCCTATTACAAAGTATCAGTAGGGAATCTGACCAGGATTAATAGTGGTACTCAGTCCTGGGATTAGATGGTGTCTTGTTTCATGGATTTTAGGCCATCTGTTCTTCCCTCCTACATTATACTCCTGCAGAACTATAAACGCACCTCCACCTCAGGGACTATAGAAAGGAATTAGAATTCTTCTGCTTTTCATTATCACAAGATTCAGTAACTCATTTCATTGTCAGGATAATCCCCTTTTACTCTTTCTTTTGCGCTTGCAGGATATGCCAAAATGACAAATAAAATCCCAGATGTTAGAGACCTGATGAGGTCTCCACCTTTCCCTGAGTGCTGGGTTTAAGCTACTTGGGACACGGTGTCAAATCTGACAGGACCCTGATGCCCACACCCAATATTCATTAAGGTTTGTTAGTGATTTGTATAGCTGTCTACAAGCTGCACTTCCACCTCAGTCCTCAGTGGCCATTTAAATATTTAGTTTGTCCTCTGGCTTTTACTGACAGAGAATTAATTTCCTATTGTTCAAGTGTTGGAAAGAGTTTATATTTCTTTCTAAAAGTAACAAACGCCTTCTGGGTGCTGTAAATGGCTTGTTACTGCTGCATATTATTTTAGGTAGTTATATCTAATTTAAAGTTTTATTTCCCCATGGGCTAACTTGCATATCTGCAGCATCCAAAGTCTATGACAACGCCTTAGCAGAGTTTTCTCAAGGGAGTTAGTTAACTCTAAATTGAAGTTTGGTCTTTGTGCTATACCAATTCATATCTGCATGCAATTTCTAAAAGTTCTGTAAAGTATCTCAAGTATGTAATTATTTTCAGGTTTAGTAAAAATACTTGCAATTATCATAGGCTCAACTAGTGTTTATTTTTTTCCCCTTATTTATATGCTAAAGTAATCATCTCTACATATGGGACAAAGGGCTGGGGAATTCTGCGTATGATCTTTGGAATATTTTATGTCCGTAACTCTCTCAGTTCAGACACTGAGCAGCACGACTTCCCTCCCGTGCCCAGCTGGAGTAAAATAAGGCTCCACTGAGAGGCTACAGGCTTCTTGCTGTCTTTCACTTTGGGGAAAGAGTGATCCTCAACTTCTCTTAATTTATCCACTCTTTTGGCAGGTAGGTAGTGCTAATTTCAACTACAAACATAAACTAACTGAAAGCCGTATGTTTAGAACTGCATTCTATTTTCTAGTATTTCTTGCTAAATCTTATTTCATTTCTAATGCCCTGTGACAGTAAAGGAGTGAGTCACACCCCTCAAGCATGGTGCCAAGTGATCTCAGGTCTCACTGGGTACATGGGACTCGAGCTCTAAGCATTTGTAGAAGATGCCATGTACTTTAGAGGACGAAAATCACTGAACCAGGTCTAAAAACAGCTCTTGGAGTTGGGGTTTTCATTAACAGTACAAATAATCTGCCAAGCTAAGTCTCTGGTATTTAAAAAATAGGTACAAGTTTTACCTTGTAACTCCAAGCCACAAAATATAAAATGACTAGAGATAATTGTTTAATTGAACATCAGTATGACAAAGCCCTACTCTTAAGAGCATCAGGATATGATGGCCCCTTTTAAACTAAAAAATATTTGTTTTTTTTTAAAAGGGATTTTGGTTTATTATTTTTTTCTTTTTGTGCCACTACACTGCAACACAGTCTACAACAGTATTACTTTACTAAAAACAAAATACTGAACATTTAACCATAAGTACAGAGGGGAACATAAGTATTCTAACAGAACTAGTAACCGCATTACTTCATGTTAATAGCAACAGTTAAAAGTAACTGTTGTACTGAAACCTGAAAAATGTCCAAAAAATGAAGTCCCTTGACACACTGAAGGTTTGGGGTTGTACAAAAGCACAGCAGGATGTATAGAAATAGAGGTGTTTTAGTTTGATCCGATTTCAATGTGGGTGTTAAACACTTAAAATTTATTTTTTTAGAAGTGAAATCATTCAACTAATTAGCCCCTCTATTTTTCAGAAGTTAAAACTTTTTAGTTTCGTAAGAAATGAAGAAAAATTAAATCAGAATGCCTTTAGTTTCCATGATTAAACCAGTAAAGTCTAGAGGGAAAACTGATAATTAAAAAAAAAAAAGTCGGATAGCAAGCTTTCTTCTTAATTCCAGCTGAAAAGAAATGAAAGCAATACACAAGGTCATGCACTTTTAGTTTCCCCCTATAAGGGAGGAAAAATGCCTACAATATATATTCTAGTGAGGTTTTTTTTTCTGAATAATTCCTAGCAAATAGGATTCCTTACAAAACAACTTCATCTCCTGCATTAAAACTCATCTGGAAAAGGGATCGTTCACACTGTTTATAAAACACTGCCACATAAAACGTGTAAAAAACCATATTTCACTAAAAATAGCTTGCGTAAGTGAGGGATTAGAGTAGTTTCTACTGCTATAATTGTTCCTTTGTAGTTTTTTCCATGATGTTTTTGAACAGTGTTTTTAACTATGTTTATTAAAGTCAGCACATCAAAAAGGATCAAAGAGTAAGCTAGTGAGAACCAAAGAAACCCCAAGCGTATTGTGTTGTCTCACTGGGGAGTTATGCAGATTCAAGTAAACAAGTGCAAATTGTTGAGGTTTTAATGAAAATTTTCTACAATTATTGTATCTGAAGTCATTCTATATAATAACATCTGTACAGCAGATGGCCATACTGTACAAAAGGCAAGCAATGCTCCTTTTTCTTCCTCTGTTTTAACAGTACATCTGAGATGACTACTTTTGTCATTGCGCTTAGCTTGGTTCAGCAAATAATTCGTAAAATGCAGCTGCTGCAGATGGTCACAATAGTTATTTCACTGTAAAATCAAAGACACAGTGAAGTATTCACGTATTAGTTTCATTCTATTAAAAAAAACTCTTGACATTAACCCTGTTCAGCTCAAAAGGTGTATCTATAAAACCTTACATAAAAAGAACAGTAGTGAAGAAATGAGATATTTAAATGCTCTTTCCTCCCAAGACACAGCTACAAACTTTTAAAAATTGAGTTAGTTTGCATAATCTCTTTGTAATAATAAAACAAATCTAGTTATTAACTGTGGTACTCTTCTAAAGGATTTTTAACATAACATTATAATATCATTTTCCCCACACTGAGTTTTTTATCTTCTCTCCTGAAGTTGTAATTTCTGCTTTGGTTTCAATCAGCACTTTAAATTCAGTTTAACAATTGTAAAAAAAAAAAGAAAAAATCCAAGCAATTTCTTAAAATATTTTTTTACAATTTCAATGAGTTTTGTGGAAGTATGTATTTTGTTTTAATTAAAACTGAATTTATTGCACCATCACAACAGTATGCAAAACCTCATGCAGATGTATTTTTCTTTTTATAAAGTAGAGATAAAGCATTTTTAACTGGAAAAAAAACCAAAACGTGAAAAGCTGTTGTCGTCTATTAATTGTCTGGTTATGGAAGTTCTTTATATAGAATAACTTATGTCCATTTTCATTAGATTTGACATCAGTATTGCTCCACTTCACAACGCTTGCCAGACTATGACCATACTGAAGATTCATGTATGGCTTATAACACGTAAAATAAAGATTGATTTCCTCAGACTGCCAGAAGAATTAAGAAACAGAACTTCATAGCTGAAAATGTTTCTGAGGCTTAACATGCAAGGCAAGGTACTCCTCCTTCTGGGAGGATGAAAACCTCCAGGGTAAGTGAAATACAGTGTGAGTTTGCCAAATTGCTTTACAGAACAGTGACGGAGCAGCCCGGCTTTGATGTATCGAAGCATGATGTGGACACCATAACGTACCATGGGACAGATAATGCATAAATGATAGAGGGGAACTGATGGAAGGGAAGAGGATTATTACACAGAAACAAAACTAAAACTATTTAAAGCACATTATAAAGGCGTTTGCTCAGTTGTAGTGCCTTCTATGCTAGAGATGTGATCCGAATGGAAAAGCGTGGGAACACAAGCACTGTTCCTGCCTGCACTGCTGTTTATTAAAGGATAAATCAAAAGTTTCAGTCCCTGGCACTTTCATGGGTTTTCACGTCCTGTGAACCTTAAATTTTTCATTTTTAACTTTTAAAACAATAAAGAAGAACTGAAACTTGCTGGCCTGAGGAAAAATATTTCTGATGAAAAAGAAATAAATCACCACCTCAACTGGCCAACAACTTGCTCCTCTCAGCTAGAGACTGTTTCACCTCACAAGCTACTCTTGCAGCTACCTCCATCTGGCTCATCTCCACACCATGGAAATGTACCATCTTATTAAGTTTATTGAAATATTAATAAAACAATTTACAATGACACTCAAAATATCTCTATTTTAAACAAGTCTCTGGTATCTGGTTAATTGTACCCGAGGCATAAAGTTTCCTTGCAGTGCTCCAGTAATGAGGCCAGAGTGCCTGTTTTCCCTGTGTGACTCTCAGGTGTGCAGAGGAAACATGTAAAAATTGAAAACTTCATAAATCTGGAGAAGAATAACAGCATGACCCAATATTTACATAGTAGCACCTGTCAGGGCTCTGAACAATTATTTTTACATTTTTTTGAGACAGAAACAAAGGTTCTAAGAAGAAAATCTAGTTACAGAGTGAAAACTGTCAAAATTTTACCCTTTGAATTATGTGCTAAATTATCAGAATACCAAAGGAGTGGTTCTCATAACCACTAATTCAGCCAGAATTCCATCTATAAAATAGTAATTACAAGCTAGGGAATATTAACTACGGAATTAATCATTCTTGGGTGCTCTCTTACAGAAAGGAAAACTCAGGTAAGAGACTCTATCAGGGGTTTGCTATTTTCTGTTGTGGATTTATGATGTTGGCTGGAGCAGTTCCCTGCAATGCCCCACACTTAGAAACAGTCACTAGACCACCACTTACACAAACCAGTAGCTCCTCCAACATTAAAAAAAAACCTCTTACCTGCAGTTTTATGTCCACTTTTAATATTCAGGCTCCCACTGAGGTTTGAGAAAGAGACTAACAAACAAGGTTTACTGGGGTGTGGGATGGTTTCCATCAAAACAACCATTTGAACAGTGTGAATGGAAATTTTCTGGAAGCAGGAAAGGGCTTGCCACAAATTTTCTTGCATTGAAGCCTTTTGCACAGTGTGGGTGTGCACTGCAGGTAGAAAGTCCTTTGTACTGGGGTGTCTGGATATCAAAGTGACATCCTCATCTGGAATAATGCCAGCAGATGAAGCAGACTCCTTCCTTGGCACATCTTCATTTGTGGTTATGATTTTCTTCAAGAATTGGTTTATTTGGTCAAGCCTGGCAAAACTGAGATTTGCTTTCAAAGGTTTTGATATGTCCACATTTATGTCAGCTGTAGGGGAGAATTGGAGAAAAAAATGTGATAAGCTATAGTGCAATTATTCAAGCTGTTTGCAAATATTAGGCATTGAGTGGAAATAGCTTTTCCATCATACTCCCACCATGTTTCATTACAAGGACTGAATCAATGTTAAAACATAACAAAACAATATTTTTAGCAATAAATCTGAATTAAAATATAATGAAAAATACTATAAGCAACCATCACTATATACAGTTTTAAAGGAAGAAAAATGGCACAATGTGGATTTTATCTCATTTCTTCCCAGGGATCACCACAGCTATCAGAAAGACACACATTTTATTTGAGTGTGTAGGAGGGTAGATACATTAGTTCTCTTGTGTCAGAATAAAAATATACTTCACATTCTCTTGAGTTTTATATCCAGAAAAACTATTTGACTTAACTCCAAAGCCAACAGCGAACATTTTCAACACATTTAAATGAGTGAATAACAAGTGTATTGTGTTGTTTCCTACACAGCTCATATGCAGCAGTCTTCTATGCATTTTCAAGATGAAATGTGAAATAAAAAAATGGAGATATGTATAGATTTCTTCATTTTTCAAGGAGATTGGAATAATGTATTGTTTTTAAATTAAGAAAAAAAAATCATTATTATTTTTAAAATTATTTTTGTCTCCTCACCAAAAAGGATTTTGGTGTTTCTCAGACTACTGAAAGACTCACAGAATTTTCAGGAATCACAATTAATATGAACAACATTGTTAATAGTGATATCTTGGTAGCTGAGGTGTAGGAATTGCCAAAAAATTATTTCACAGATAGGAAGCGCTGATTTTATGAAGGCTGAAACTTATTTTTGTGCTGCAGTATAAGTACGTAACAATTCCTTAGAGAAATCCAGCTTTTAACTTAGTTTTTAGGATTTTTTATTTCAAATTCAGTTTTTGACCAGTAATGTGACAGCTATTCTGGTTAGGGGGAAAAGTACTTTTCCCTTTGCTATTTGACTGCCACCACCCCAACCCCATGAACCAAAAGTGATTAAAATTCTGTGCATATATCTAAACTAGATTAAGCATTCAAACAGCACTACTTAGTTTCGAGTTTCATTATAAATATACAGGAAACACTGTCAGTTGAAGGTTTTACACAGATTAATGAATATTTATCAAAACTAGTTTCAAATTGTCCAGGATCACATCTTACTTTTAACATTGATGCAAACTAATGAGCTCGATTCTCCTGTTCTTTAGGTAAATTTTTACACCAGTGGTGAAGGGCTGTAGGGACAGAGTTTCAGAGCTGCTTTTAAGCACAGGTTTATACTGACTTCAGAGACTCACAGACACATCAAAAAGTACTTTTTTTATCCCCTCCCCCCAAAAAAATATCTGGCACATTTTCTAAAAAGATAAGAGAAATTTATTAATGGCTGTGTAAGATCGGTCATAGCTGAACTAAAAAAAAAAAACGATCCTAGAAAAAAGTCTGTACTATACCACAAGCTACAGCTAACTGAAGTTTAAGACTGAAAAGCTATTTTTAACTTACAACTTCAATTACTGTTTTTTGGAAAATCTTTTCTCTTGCACTGAAAGCCTTCCACACTAATCTAGGAATGACAAAACAACTAGCTAATATGTGGGCCTAGTAGAAAGGTAAGTCCCAAAGCTAGGAAGCTGGGCATTAGAGGAAAAAAGGATTGGAAAGGGTTGTTAAACACTGGAATTGGCTGCCCAGGAAGGTGATGGAGTCACCCTCCCCGGATGTGTTCAAGAAGCAACTGGACGTGGCACTTAGTGCCATGGGCTAGTATGGACGGTGCTGATCAAAGGTTGGACTTGATCTCAGAGGTCTTTTCCAACCTCAGTGATTCTGTGAAGATTTTCAGGCATCCAAAACCACACAAGATCAACTTGTTAGATTTTTCAAGATCTTTATGTACTGACATTTTAATTAAAACCATGGGAAGAAAAAAGTCATAACACTTTGGAAAAACTTCCCACACTCTTGGCACTTGGAATACCCCGAGATTTGCCTGCCTTTTATGCAGACATCACTAGGCCTCTCCTTCCTTTGAATAGAGAAAGGAGTTAGGAAGAAAGCAGAGACCCATTTGACATTATGACACTAATTTATTTACAATATTCAGATGAAAAGGAGCGTTTTTAAAATGCAATGTTAAAAAAAACAACCTAACTGCCTTATCAATTTAAATTTCTCCCTTAGTAATGTAGTAATAAAGGAGTAAAATAGAAGAGATGTTATTTATTGATTTCTGCTAAATAATTAAGGTTCTAAGTTAGTAAAGGAGGACCCTTACTCCTTGGTACAGCAAATTTCACATCTAATTGCTTTATCTAATACACATCTAATTGCCAGCACTTTCCTATGGTAATAAAGCCCAGAAGAGGAAAAAAAAAAACCAAGAAACCTCCCTGACACCTAAAAGCTTCTTAGACCTAAGTTGACCCAACAGGTGTCAGGGGCTCAACCCAAAGCTTAACACACCCAAACTGAGTGTGAAAGATGAGATGAACACAAAGGCAGAAGTTCTTTTTGGGGCTTCCTTTGGCCAGGGCAGAGAAGACACAGGGCGCTGCTGCAGCTCAGTGGTAGAACATGCTTGGCATCTGGGCCTGTGCTTTTATCACTGCTCTTGGCCACTTATCCAAGAAGGCAATAAAAAAAGGGTCACCAGGACACCAGAAAAATGCAAATGACTTCCCTCTTTTCTGTTTGGAAACTGTGCATGTCACACAGAAAAATCTTGTCACGACTGATAACTATAAAGTTTTTTATGAAGTTATTATTATCATCCAGTAAATAATCCTTTATAGAATGTGGTGGCTGCCAGAAGCATAATTGCAGAAAATGTAACTTTGGAACTTTCACTGCAAGTATTTTTAACTACCTCATAATGACATAGGTTATTTTTACAACTGGTTAAAGATTATATAAAGAGATTCTTTGGTATTTAAAGTAAAACATTCAAAGAGAGAAAAAAACCCCACAATTGAGCAATCTTTAGTCTTTGACCTCTTTTATACTTTATCTTTAGTAATGTAAAAGAAACTTTACCTTTCCCTCTAAGGAAAATATATTTAAGTGATGGACAGAACAATGAAAACTGATGAAATATGAAGAGCTATTTATAGGAGTTGATTAAGACAGATATTCAGCAGCTTTACCAGACAGTCAAAATGGGCTAAAAAGAATTTTAAAATCTATGAGTCACATAGAATCAAGTGGAATAAAATTTTTGGAGTGCAAAATCCAAAACCCCCAGTTTTTTTAGATTATTTTAAACACTTTGGGAAGAACATCACATAACACTGCTCAGATTCTGTATCTCTAGGAAAATAGTCTTCTTGTAACTCAACTAACTCTTTGGATTGCCCAAATTACATCTGAATCAAGACAGAGAAAAAGGTAGCTCAAAGTCACCTTTAATTCCTCAATTACATCAGCTTCTCATCCTGCTAGTGACTGGCTACCAAAATTATAACCCAATGCATTCTTTAGATTTAAGACATATTAGCAGTAACTTATTTTGCCAGGTGTTACCTATTTCCAGAAAAAAAAAGTGAAAAAATTACTGTGCTTGCATATAGATTGCATCAAGTGAGTTATTTCTGTTACACTTAACGCAAACTGAACTAGATAGTATCAAATCAATTTTTGATTACAGTATAGCATTTGAATTTGAATTGCATCTTCCTCACTTTCTTCACTACTTCTCTATAGATTACTCAGTAAATCCGTGTATTTCAATTATTAGTTTCTAATTAGCCTTTACATCTTTCTGAACAGCAACTAGGAAACAGAATGATGAAATAACCAATGAGTTAAAAGGAGATTAGATAAATATAAATAAATTACACTTATTATTTGCTCCCACCACACCAGGAGATGACTTAACAGTGGAGGAAAAAGAAACACTTTGGAATAATGAAATCAGAGAGGGAATTCAGGTCCCAGAGGCAATTCTACGGAGTTTTATGTTAATGTACACCTTGTGGGGGACCAAAAATCAACTGGAATAGTTTCCTGAAAACCGTTTCCAGCTATTTTCTCATTTTAAAAGTTCCAACTTCACTTGACCCATTAGTCATCATATTACTTACATTTATTATGTATTTTGAAATCTATTACAAAAAACCCAATGGATTCAATATGGCCTGTTTGAACTAAATCATAACAACTATAAAAGAAAACCTACGAGCAGCATTCTGAAATTTCTGTCTGAAACAATTTCTTTCTTTGTCATTTTATTACTTAGAGCTTCAGATAAAAAATTTCAGGGTTATAAGTATTTTACCCTTGTTCTCAATAACATTCAAATTTGTACTGGGAAGATATAATTTTCATCTGTGAACTTGGGATAAAGATATTACTCAAAAGGACTTTTTATTCAGAGGCCTAAGGATGAATAAGCAACACAAAAATATTGAAAGCTCCTAGCATGTTGCTCCAGATAAATTCCAGCTCTTACTGGAGCTGGGAGCTTCGGTGGGCTTATTCTAATATATGCCATAAGTTAATGTACACAATGTTACTACTTCTATGACTTAAAAACTACAATAGCATTTCCTTAATCTTAAGTACCAGAAAGTAAATGCCATGAAGATTAGTCATAAACTGAATAGGGACAGGCTGGATCAATGGGCCAAGTCCATGAGGTTCAATAAGGTAAAATGTGAGTCCTGCACTTGTGTCACAATAATCCCATACAGCACTATGGGAAAGATGTCTGGAAAACTGCTTCTTGGAAAAGGACCCGTGGGTGTTGATTGACAAGAGCTGAACATGAGCCAGCAGTGAGCCCAGGTGGCCAAAAAGGCCAGTGGCATCCTGGCCTGGCTCAGCAATAGTGTGGCCAGCAGGAGCAGGGCAGGGATTGTCCCCCTGTACTGGCACTGCTGAGGCCACAGCTCGAGTGCTGTGTCCAGTTCTGGGCCCTGGTGAGGGGTCTGGAGAGTAAATCTTATGAACAGCAGCTGAGGGAGCTGGGGTTGTTTAGC